GAGATTCGAACTCACGCCTCTTTCGAGATCGGATCTTGAGACCGACGCCTTAGACCAACTCGGCCAAGTTACCTGGCATATGAGGTCATACAAATAAATATCTTTCGAATTTACAAAGTCTAGGCGCCTGCCGATCGCAATCGATCGGTTGCCGCATCCACATGCTGATCTGTGAATGATCTGTGGATCCTGGGTCACAATCACGTAAAACTACTTCACCCGATTTTGAGTCGGAGAGGCTGGTGGTTCCTCTCAATTCTTCCGGACGATACCGAATTGTGTGTGATTCTTCAAACTCAAAAGTGGTAAGGTGGACGTCGGAATTTCTTTTTGCGCGATCTTTTTCTAGAAGCAAAACAATTGAAGCGGAACGCACAAGTTGTTTATGGTGCATATCATCACCTTTTGGACGGACGGATCTATTGAAAACGGTCGGTTCCAGTACATTACTGAAGAGCCAAAAAGTTTTTCCAACAAAGCATCCGGGTCTAAGTACTCATCCCTAAACCTCTTCATATGCAATGCCTTTGCCTTTAACCACCAACCCCACCCAACTCCGAGACGACAAACGCAAGAAACTGTACTCGCTATCCCCGGTCTCCGATCGCGACATCCCCCGCCTCGAATCCATTGATGCCGTATTATTATGTAAGATCACGGTCACTCTCAATAAAGCGTCGTTTAATGTATACGAGTTGAGTTCTTGTGGGTGTTGTGGGAGCTCAAGACTCAGAGCGGCGATGCAAGCGTTCAGGATGCGGGTACATCAAACATATTTTCATTTTACATAAACATAAATACAGACAAAGATAAGATATTAAATACATGTACAGACACAGATTAAGGATTGAGCGAGAGTAGAGCGAGACTGTTTACACTATGGACACTTGGCAAAAGTTACTCCTCATCATCGTCGACCTGGCGCTTTTGCGGAGCAGGTGCAGGTGCCGCGGCACCACCTTGAACACCAACCGGTGCGCAAGACACGAACCCCAACGGGTTAGTCAACTTCAACAAGCAAGCACCATTCGGCCCCGTGCATTGCAGGTCCTGCGGAACATTGAGTCCAACATCCAACGTCTGCCGCGACGTCCCCCTGTTCCTCCCCGCATCCCCAGGAATATTCTGCGTGACCTCAACATTCTGGAAACTACTCCCCGTCCCCGTCGGATCAATCGCAGCAACAAGCGGTCCAGCACCATCGCCGTTTTGTTGGAACCATTGAATCTGAGCAGTCTGGCCGGGTGTGAGCATCATGCGGGGGATCATGTCCATCCCTGCGAGAGACATTTCTTGTCCACGGCCATTGTCGAAACGACCGCATGCTGCTTCGGGTTGACCGGCTCGGTTGCGGGTTACGTCGGCTTGGGAGGTGAGGGGGACGCCTTGTTGGAGCTGGACGTTGAGGCCTTCGGGGTTGACGAGTTTGCCGTGGGCTTCGACGTTGGAGGGGATGGAGACGAAGAAGGCGGCGGCGAGGATGATGGAGGTGGTGAACTTCATCTTTGTTTTGTTCTTTCCGAATGGTTTCGGAGTAGTGGAAATGTTTTGGAGTGATGGCTTGATTGTGGATGCCAAGAAGCCAGACCAAGATATTTCCTTTTATGTGGAATTCGTTCTTTGTCTGGCACCCCCTATTGATTTCTACAAACGAACCTGGTCCCTCAATACAAATTTCTCCCTAAATTACTCTCCTCACCATCTCGTCTCCTTCATCATCGCTCCCTGCATTGCTCCCCGCGTTCTACTCAATTCCACTATGCATTTTGCGCCTTGCAGGTGCTGGGAACTTGCTACCTGCTTGACGAGGGGTAGGCCCGTGCGGTTCGAAACCGATTCCTTTCGTTGCGCTCCAGCCGTGAAGGAGAAAAGAGGCGCGCCTATGTATAACACTCTGGATTCCAAAGGTTGTCGGAGTTTGAATTTTCGTGGATCTTCCATTTGTAGAACTTTCGCGATTCCGTCACACCCACGATTTCATGGCAGAAAACGCAGACGCGTACGGTCAATTGCAAGCTTCATATGATGGTAGATCATGCGCTCACACTCTGCAAAACATGGCAAATGCCGAGTTGTCATATAAGTAGACGGAATGGCAACCGCAGGCTTGGACTTGTCTTCATAGGCCTTTGCAACCTTTCTGAGTTAACTCTGACCGCGAGATTTGGGAGGTAAGAACTCTTCGTCTTGCGTTTCTGAAAGCTTTCTTGTACGAAACACCCAGAATGCAACTGACTCCTCATTGAATCCTGCACTCAAAGTCGGAACGTCGAATATCGCGGACGAAAAGCGGATTTGAATATCGGAAGACTGGGGATTGAACTGGTGCCTGCATATCCTGGGCCTTGCAAGTCTTCGTCCATGTGATTGTCATGTGCAGTGGCGCCGCAGGGCATCACCAGCGCGGCAGGGCGGTTCAAAACCCTCTGCATCTGAATCTGAACACATAAATGTTAGTCATGACTTTGACAGCACAACCCACCATTTTCCGGATCCGCCAAGTAATTCCAACCCCCAGGGCAGCGACCTGAACTGTGGACTCTTTATCGGATACGTTAGTTGGTTGAAATCATACGAATCGAACGACGCCAAAGGGGAGACGAATGAGCAAGTCAACGAACGATAAAGATGAGATGCCGAGTGGACCACCACCACCCCGACCGGGCAATGCATTTGTGAACATACTTGTCGATGAAGACTTTGATGAGCAAACTCCAACGCTAGCACGGATTCGTACGGTGCCCACATACGCATCAACCAACCAAACCGACGATACTCAACGCCCGAACCTATCCGCTGACCCCCCTCCTGAATCAGCATTAGCAGACGACTCCCTAGGCCTCACCCCCTCACCCCCAGACACCCTCCGCCTCCAACACTCAAGCTCCCTCCCCAACCTCGTCGCAGCATCCTCCACCGCAGCAGCCGCAGCAGCAGCAGCAGCCGCCGCCGCCGCCTCTATATCCTCCTCAACCGGTCCCGATGACCCGAATCATTTAAACCTTCACCCGAGTGTGTTCCACCCTCATAGCCTTTTTCTCAACCACCCGAACTTTGAGGGGTTGACGTACCATCAGAGAGAGAGGAGGTACCTTCTTTTACTGCATCAGAGGCAGCTGCTTATGCAACACCAGTTTGAGCAGCAGTTGCAGAATTACCGTCAGCAGCGTTCAAGGACTAGCAGTGGGACTTCTACGGAAGGGATTCAAGATCAACAACGTGAAGATGGAGGAGAGAGTGGAGTTCGGGTGGATGCGGCTCGGATGGGTGGGGGCACGATGGGTG